CACTCGATACGTCTGGCATCGCAACCTACCCAGCCGCGACATGGCGCTCGCAGCATTCGCCGCCTGGCTACCGATAGCAGAGAGAGAGTCTGGAACACAACTGAAAAAATTCCAGTCAGACGGAGGTGGCGAGTACACCTCTCACCGCTTCAAGCAGTTCTTGGCGGAAAGGGGGATCAAGCAACTCCTCTCCCTTCCTTACGCACATCAGCAGCAAGGTGTTGCAGAACGACTGAACAGGACCCTGCAGAACAGCATGCGCAAACTATTACGTGGCATGCGGCTACCCAACCACCAGTGGCCAGCAGCAATGGACCACGCTGTCATGCTACACAACTTGTTGTCGTCGTCGTCACTCCCGAACAACGCATCACCGCATCTGCTGTGGACAGGGAAGCAGGGCAGCACGAAAATGTTACGAGTTTTCGGGTGCATGGTACAGTACAGACCCCCAGAAGCACGAGCGGGAAGATTTTCGCAACGGGCACAGTGGGGACTACACCTCGGCACCGAGAAAAATTACAACGCATGGAAAATCTTCGACGTCCACACAAAGGAAACAGTAGCAGCACGTGACGTGATCTTCTACGAAAGACTCACCCTTCAGACGTACCTCGCCAACTTGCACGAGAATCGGGACCTCACCAGTGGTTTTCGTGGTGACCGAGCCTTCGCGTCAGCAGCGGACGAAGCAGACTGGGATGAACAGAACGTCGACAACGCCTCAGAAGAAGCCGGACCTCTCCCATACTGCTCCGTCGACGTGCCCATGGATGAGGATAATCCTCGCGACAGTAACAACGCCGAAATCTTCTACCGTTTCGCCGACGATGGTTACGTAACACCTGTGACAGTCAACACCAACGAAGCAGAAAGGGTAGGGCCAAATTTCATGCCCGACCCAGAAACGGGAGACGAAGCAGCTTATCCCGAGGATCCAGAACTCCCTCGATACTCACAGACTGGGCTGCAAATCCTCGGCCTCGTCACCGCAGTCCACGGGAACACATGCAGCTCGCTTCCTAAGGAGCCTGCAACGGTTCAGCAGGCTCTGGGGGGGAAACACAGGGAGAAATGGCGTGAAGCCATGGATAGAGAACTGAAGGCATTAGAGGAACGCAACACTTGGAAGGTTGTTCCCGTAAGCGTGGCACGGAACAAAACCATCCTTACCGGGAAATGGGTCTTCCGCATCAAGACGAAAGCAGACGGCACGATCGAAAAATTCAAAGCACGCTGGGTCGTACGTGGATTCGACCAAGAGCAAGGACGAGACTTCACCGAGACCTTTGCTCCAGTCAGCCGCCACACGTCACTCCGAATTCTCCTCGCCATTGCCGCCATGAAGAAGAAGAAGTTACGGCAGATCGACGTCGCGAATGCCTTCCTCTACGCACCTGTGGATGCAGAAATCTACGTCGAGCTCCCGCACGGTTCCCACGGCGAACCCAACCGAATCTGTCAACTACTTAAGTCGCTCTACGGGATCAAGCAGGCACCGCGACTGTGGCAGCAGTACCTGCACGCCCGTCTCATCCGCATCGGCTTTAGTCAACTACCTCACGACCAAGGCATGTACCGCCTCACTAAGGGAAGCGACTACGTTCTCCTGATCGTCTACGTGGACGATCTCCTCTACATTGGGTCAACCGACGGCATCGCCACGTGGTTCGAAGGAGAGCTCCAGAAAGACCTCACGCTCACGGTCTCCTCCACCGTTACACAGTACCTCGGGCTCAACATCCGCGAAGAAGAAAACGCCATCTATCTAAGCGCCGAGAAATACGCCGACACCATCGCGAAACGTTTCAGCCTCACACCAAGCGCCATCTCCACGCCCTACCGCTACACATCAGGAACCGAGAAGGAACGAACTACTCTACTCAAGCCCGCCGGCATACGCGACTATCAGAAGAAGCTCGGATGCCTGCTATTCGCCGCCGTCACCTGCCGTCCTGACTTATCCTACTCCGCAAGTCAGCTCGCCACCTATCTCAAGAAGCCTGAAGCTGAACACCTGGCGGAACTTGATCGCGCTCTCCACTACTTCGTCAGCACCGCGACGATCGGGCTAACCTACCACAAGAGCGCAGCTACACCGACTAAGCTAATCGGCTACGTCGACGCCGATCACGCCGGCGACACCGACAACAGGCGCTCACGCACCGGCTATGTCTACCGCCTTGAGCCTATCGGTCCTATCTCCTAGCAGTCGAGCAAGCAGGAGTTAATCGCACTATCTTCAGCAGAAGCAGAATATATTGCACTCTGCTCAGCCACCAAGGAGGGACTTTACCTTCGCGAACTACTGGAAGAAGCGAAGCTAGCCGAGTTACCCAGCTTCACCGTGTTCTGCGACAACCAGTCAGCAATTCGCATCGCCAACAAAAACGGCTTCGCAAACAGGACGAAACACATCGCCCTGCGCTATTTCTTCGTGAAGGACGAGATAGAAAAAGGGAAACTCGATCTGTCATACTGTCCAACATCCGAGATGGCAGCCGATTACTTGACCAAGAAACTCGGCAAGCAGAAGTTCGAATACTGCATGATGCTGACTGGACAAGGCCACGTCACCAGCAGTAACACTCCAGAAGCGAAGGGGAGTGTTGGAAACAATAAGTCCTAAGTGCGCTTCTGTCGTATCAAAATCCAAGGTACCAAGCGAAGCAGTCCCAATCGAAGCATCGAGTCAACCTCGGAGGTTAGGGTAACCGCCTGGAGGTTACGAGAAAGTCAAAGGTCGCTGACCTTTGACTCGACAATTACAGCGCGACAGTTAAGGACACACAACTGACTCGTTACAGAGCAGTTGCCCGAGTCGCGCTATATCGAACCGCAACAGCAATACAGTTATCTATTCCCTGTACTCTTATATAAATCCTTGTATTTGCTTGTTTAATTCAATCAACTTTGCTCTCACACACCAGTGCAAGGTCGGTTCAAATTCTTCACTAAACGCTTCCGCTGTTACAACTACTTCACCTAGAGTTATCCCTTGCAAAGATCCTAAGGGGCTATCTCAGCCCAACAACTTGAACATAGCAGGAAACAGGGCCCACGATATCAGGGCAAAACATCCTGATTACCCTGATTTCAGGATGGTGTCTTAAGTTTGCCCTGGAATTTCAGAATGATGCTGAAATTTACCCTGTGACGTCAGGATGATCCTTGTGTTTTGCCCTGAAATTTCAGAATGGCAGTGAATTTTTGCCCTGAAGCATTAGGGTGAATGTAGAGGGATTCCCTGACTCGTGGGAAGGGGAGAAAGGGTGGAGGGGGGAGAGAGGGAGAGGGAGAGGGAGAGAGGGGAGGAAGGAGGCTGGAGGGTGTGTGTGCTAGTTTTGTCCTCACCCCTACCCCACCAATGTTTTTGCTCCGCCAGTAGAAGTGAAACCAGTGAACAACCTGCTCCTTTCGTGCCTTCCCCTCCATCCTCTCTAGTGCCTCGTATTTTTTGCCCTGAATCATCCATATGAATTACTGCTGGTGCCCTGAAATTTCAGGATGGCCAGAAAATTCTGCCCTGAAGAATCAGGGCATTTCAGAGATTTTTCAAAAGTTACCCTGAGGGCTCAGGGTGCCCAAAATCCTAGCACAGGCCCTGGCAGGAAACTATTGGACCGTTTTGAGTCGCACATATAGGACTCTTGCTAGGTCACTTACTATGTTATGAGTTGTAAAAGAGAGTGCGCAGGTAAAACGAATAACGAAGCTGTGACTCAATCAACTGCGAATACAATGAATGCCCAAACTAATATAGAACTACGCTAGCTAGGAGAGAACCTCGGGCAAACGAGGTTGGGTGCAGGTTTGGCGATGAGAAAGCCGAAGGCGACGCGAGGAGCCTCGGCAGCGTTGAAATCGGCCGAACGTGCGAACTCCGAAAATCGGGTTGTACGCGAAGCAGTCAACCCCGATAAGGAATTCGGGAAAATTCCTTACATACTAGGTCTACACGATTCGACGTGCCGACTCTTTGTCCACGATGCTCCTATCAACATACTGTACCACGATTTGGAGTGAGGTGACGTGAGGTGAGGTGAGGGCATTGGTTTGGCAGGCGTGTTCTATCGGTGAGCAGAGCTAGAAAGAATGAACATCATGAGCCCCACCACTACAGCTCCTATCTTGTTTGCCAAGCCGTGACCTGCCAAACTCTCCTTTTGTCAGACGATACGATTTTAAATCTGCACGCCGCCGCTTATATCATAATGCGGCGTTTTCCCAGGCGTGCCGCCGCACGCCGCTGCAGTAACGCCGGAGCTTGCGTTCTCCTCCTCGCAGCCCTTACGATCACTATCGGCGCTGCTGCTTGCTCCCTTTCCAGCGTTAGTACTAGTACTACTACTAATCGCCCACCGCCGCGGCGGCGAGATGTCCCACAGCGGCTTCCGTCCAGACAACGCCTGCTGTCTCGCGCTCAGCCCAGCCGTGCCCAACGCTCTCTTTTGAAGCTCGCCGCTACCGGCAGCGCTGCCGCGGCCGACGCGAGCGTTGGAATCGTTCTCGAAAGCTCGCAATGTGAGTCGGTTGTCCAGAAGTCAGAGGCTCTCAGCGAGCTTCCTCACGCGATATCATCCTCCCATTTCGATTGGTGGTCCAGAATCCGCACTCAGAGTTGACTTTTGTGAGTCGACTCAAAAGTCAACTCGATTGGTGGTCCAGAATCCGCACTCAGAGTTGACTTTTGAGTCGACTCAAAAGTCAACTCGATTGGTGGTCCAGAATCCGCACTCAGAGCTCCACTTCTCATGAGCAGAGAGAGTATAACACCTCGCTAAACCACTGGGTCAAGACGAGGGTGTTATTTTGGTGCAGCGGAATGCCCTTAACACTAGCCACACTAGCCCGGCCCACTCGCGTTACAGAGAGAATCCGACGTCAAAGTGCGGGCCGCCCTTCAAAGTGCGACGTCACACCGACCCAGCCCAGGCGCACGTGCCGGCACTGAGGTAGATGTGCTGTCAAAGGCCCCCGGCTTTTTTTCGCTACAGTTAATGTGCTCCCATTTCAACGTTGTGAAGGCACTGCTGCAGCTGAAGGCGGCGTGGGGCGTGTGGGCGGGAAACAGCAACGCCACCACGACGTGCTCCCCCCCCCTCTTCCCCTCCCTCCTCTCCCCTCCCGATTGCATTCTCTGTACCGGCAGTGAAGGTGCTGCTGCAGCTGAATGCAGCGTGGGGCATTTGGCCGAACAACAGCAACGCCACCACGGCGTGCTCTGCATGGGAGGGCGTCACATGCAGCCCCAAAGGGCTCCTCACCGCCCTGTGAGGATCGTTCCGCCACTCGCTGTTCTCGTTACACTAGACTTCCGCTCGGTGCTGTGTGTCTCCCTTTATTAACATGTCCTAATTGGCCTCGTTGCTGTAATTGCCTCCCAGTTAGGCCGTGGTCTATGTCACGGGCGTTGTATTGGTATCCGTAGCCAAGGGTTCGAATCCAGCTAGCCACGTTTTTCGCCTGAAAATGTGGTGGAGCGAATATTCGACTGTGGTAACCCAACTCCGAGGTTCCTGGGAAGCGATCCCCTGATCCGACGAGGACGTTTGACTCCAGGGCAGCACGGGTGTCATGCCTCCAGTCTTACACCAACGGGTTAGGGGAATGTTGTAGCGCTGAATAACCCTCGTTTTGGCCAACCTAGTCTAAGGCACGGGCGTTTATGCCCCCTCAGTACTCCGTCGTTACTCCTCATTGGCCCCCTCTGTCCTCCTTTCCCCCACAGTGTTTCACTGTATCGCGCCTTCCGCTGTCTGCTCCTCTCGATTGTGTTGGATTGTGTGTGTGTGGGAGCATTGCAATCCGGACAAAGGGGGGGATGGGTTGAAGGATGTGGGGGGTGGGATGGGGGAGGACTGGATATTTGGGGAAGGAAACTGGGGTGGGCGGGAGATGGGGGAGGAATGGGAGCTGGTTGGTATTGCGTGTGTGCATGCATTTGTGTGTTGGCAGGGATTCAAAGCTAATACGGCCTAATTGGGAATTTTACAGTTACTCCATACCTGCCTCCATCACCGGTCTTTCCACTCTGCAACTCCTGTGCGTCACCACCACCCACCCACCCACCCACCCCTCTCTCTCTCCACTACAGTCTACATCCATCTTGCATTGCATCTACCATTCCTTTCTGTCATTTGCCTTGGCCTCGCCCCAACCTCGTACTGCTCTGCCAATCTCGTTTTTCGCATTCACATGCCACAACCCTACTGACCATACCCTCTTCCTGCCCTTGCATGCCTTCCTTGCATGCCTCTCTTGCATGGCTCCCTTGCATGCCTCCCTTGGATGCCTCCCTTGCATGCCTCCCTTGTATGGCTCCCTTGCATGCCTCCCTTGGATGCCTCCTTTGCATGCCTCCCTTGCATGCCTCCCTTGCATTCCTCCCTTGCATGCCTCGCTTGCATGCCTCCCTTGCATGCCTCCCTTGCATGCCTCCCTTGAATGCCTCCCTTGCATGCCTCCCTTGCATGCCTCGCTTGCATGCCTCCCTTGCATGCCTCCCTTGCATGCCTAGCCGGACCACAAGCTGCATGCATGCCTTCATTGCAAGAGATAACTCCATTTTATCCTCCTCTTGCCATCTCCACTGTTGTTCGCGCTCCCATCCCATCCCGCAGTGATCTGACCAACGTTAATCTGTTCGGGCCCCTTCCATCCCTTGCCAGTCTCACTGGCCTCACGCACCTGTGAGTATTGCTCTTCCGTGGCTCCAAACCAGGTCAACTGAATGTTGGACTAGGCCCTGACTTTTGAGTCGACTCAAAAGTCACCTGTGAGTGCTGCTCTTCTATTGTTCCATACCAGGTCAACTGAATGTTGGACCCTGCCCTGCCTATCCAATGTGCCCCTCCAGCACCCTCCTTCACTCCTCTGCACCCCCTGATCCTGCTCTTTCCAGCTTAATTGATTGTATCTCCCGCAAATTTTCAAGACTGGAGTCATTTCCCTTCCCTTCCACAACTACCATTTTCCTTTCTGACCCTTTTCCCACGTCGCTCATTACCAATCGCTTGTACAAGTACTTTTGAGTCGACTCAAAAGTCGTACTCGTCAAGTCCTCGTTTATTCCAAATAATAAAATCCTTATTTCCCCTGAACCCTAAACCCTGCATCCCCATGGCTGCCCCATGTGGTCCCATTTCCCACTAACTGCACTGTACTACCACGTGCACCCTTCATATCCACTGTTGCTGCTTGCATGCCCCATGTGCACTGTTGCTGCTTGCATACCCCATGTGCACTGTTGCTGCTTGCATGCCCCATGTGCACTGTTGCTGCTTGCATGCCCCATGTGCACTGTTGCTGCTTGCATGCCCCATGTGCACTGTTGCTGCTTGCATGCCCCATGTGCACGCAGAGCTATTTTTATGGATGGTGACATCAGTCACGCTGGCACTCTGGACGGACTGGCCTGGCTCTCCTCCCTCACCAACCTGCAAACACTGTTCGCCTTACAAGCCAATGTTTATTCCTGCGAGCAATTTAACTGTCACTCTTCTTCCGCTTTGTCATCCATCCTTGCTGTCTTAGTTTAGCAATTGCCTTTAGCTGACGTGAGGCAAAAGATGTGGCTGGAGAAGTTTCTGAATTTTCAGTTACATGTTGTTCAAAACAGGAGATTCGACTCAAACAAAACATTTTATGCAATTAAAAAGGAGTCGGGAGCCTCGTGTAATGCGTCTGCCGCATTTAGCCACGTACCGTATGGCGGAACCGGATTCACTAACCAACCCTGAAACTAAAACTGACCTGTTGCGTTTGTACCAAACATGGTTCAATTGCGGTTGGACATTTTAGGCACGTGAAAGAAGTAGTGTTTTGAGACGTCTCACGTGGAAATTCAGTTGCGGTTGGACATTTTAGGCTGAGGCAAAGTACTTCTCAACATTTGCCAACTTGTTTTCGGTTTTCTTGTCCTTTTCACGTATGCTTTCCTTAGCTCCTTCACTTTCCGTCCAGCCCCACCGTTCTAACTCACACCATTGTCCAGCAAGCTCACACCATTGTCAAGCAAGCTCACACCCTATGTTCAGAAAGACGCGTCCTGCGTCCTGGACGCATGCGTCCAGACGCATGCGTCCAGACGCAGGACGCTGACCCTTGACCTGTAAGACGCACCAAAAGACGCAAGGCTGGGCAGGGCAAAAAAAACCCCCGGGCAGGCCAAAAAAAGTTGTATAGGGCTTGGGAGAGGGGGGGGGGGGGGGGGGGTGTCATACCACAAAATTTTCCCCAACCACAAAATTTTCCCGGGTTTAGCATAAACTTCCCCCAAAATTTGAGATTAAGGTGAGTCACGTGTCACACATTTCACAAGGCCTCACACACACACATTACGTTTAATCCAACCATTTACGACCATGCATACTAAACTACCACTGCACTGCATCAAGTCAACCATCACGCATCCCCATCATCCTCGCTCTCCTTCTCCTCTTCGTCCATCGCTTCCTGGTCCTTGTATTCGTCGACTGCCGGGTCGTCCTCGTCCACCTCCCTCTCCCCGTCCTCCTCCAACTTGTATCCCTTGGGGAGGGGACCTAAAACCTCTATGGGTTTACGAAAGAGATTTGGTGAGGGGAAAATGAAAAGCCACAAAAGGTTGCCATGCTAAATGTGCTTGGTGGTGGTGGGCTACAAAGGTTGGGATTCGTAGATGCTAAGTGGTTGAGAGGTTTGAGTGAAATTCAATTTTGGTTTAGTTGTTAGGGAATGTTAGGGGGGCTGGTTTTGAATGGCGAATTGGGCTTGGGGTGGGGAAATTTCGCGATTTCGAAATTCGCGTCGAAATCGCGAATGCCAAAATCGCGATCGAATTTTTTTTTTTCCGGGCTGCCCGAATTTTTTTTCGACGTGCGTCCTGCGTCTGGACGCGCGTCCTGCGTCCTAGCGTCCGGACGCTGCGTCCGGACGCAGGACGCAGCGTCCTAGCTGCGTCTTTCCGAACATATCACACCATTTTCCAACAAGCTCACACCATTGTCCAGCAAGCTCACACCATTGTTCAGCATGCAATGCAGCAGTGCCCACCCCATGCTCCTACGCTACACCACCCCCAATGGCTTCTCTTCTCCTGTGTCGCACTTCTCTCTCTTCAACCAGGTCTCTAGAGTACTTGGCATTTCTCACTGGGGAGTTGTCTTCCCTGCACTTTCTTTCACACCTGAGAAGCCTACGTCAGCTGTGAGCATCATTGCCATACAAGAACGTACGGTACAGTGGTGGCGTGGCTCCTTGCTCCTATTCTTACTCTGCATGTCACCATGTGACTTGGTCCATACCAGCTCGCTTTTGGCAATGGTGTTTCGCTCATTATGGCTGATTGCATGTGCATGAGCGCAGGAAAGTCCGGAGTCTCAGAAACGCCACAGGGGAGTTACCCAGAGAGCTTCAGTACATGACTGCCCTCACTTCACTGTAAGCTCCACTCAAGTCCGATGGGACAGGTGAAACGGATTCGCTCATCTTCGTGCACGAGTAACACATCCCCATCCCCATCCCCATCCCCAGTTCCAACCCCTCGCCGGACATGACTGCAGCTCCATTGGCTTGTCTACGTGACGTGCTCTGCTCTGCTCTTGCTTTCCTCCCTGCTGCAGGGATCTACCCGACCTTCGTTTCGTGGAGTTCCCCATTTGGATCACTCGACTTACCAACCTTCAGTATCTGTGAGCTCCAGGGTTTCGGGTTTAGTTTTCCTCCTACTTCACCCTCCTACTTCGCTCTCCACCATTGTCACACACCACATCCCCCACGAGGCACGGGGAGGATCACATGTGCCAGCCATGGCAAGGCGATGGCTGGGATTGAGGTGCTCTAAGTGCGCACACGCACCATTGTCACACACACGCCACGCCACATCCCCCACGACGCACGGGGAGGACCACACATGCCAGCCATGGCGATGTGATTAGATTGAGGTGCTCTGAGTGCGCCGCATCTTGCTGGCATCTTCTTGTGTGCAGGAACCTGGAGGCAGACTATCCACACCGGCAGGGGCGATTGCTGAATGATGACCTCTCTCAGCTCACAGCACTGACCTTCCTGTGAGTCTACTGTGGCTTTAACTTGGTGCGGATCCTCAGTGTCAGCTTTCTGTTTTCCAGTGTAAGACCTTCATGACTTGGGTTTCCTTCTTACTCATTGCAAGCTAGTTCTGCAAGGGTGTTGGGAAAGCAGTGGACATGTCTAAGCGTGACTCGTTAGAGGTGATATGCATAAGCAGGTTTGTTCATATGGTCCACTCAGACTGTCTCTGATGCCGCAACGCTATCGCAAGAAAATCACTCATAATTCCTACCCTAGTTTCTCATGACTCCCACCAGTTATTACTCTGGCGTCCACCTGTTGCATGCTCTTCAGCTCCCTTTCCGGAAACAACTTGGAAGGATACCTTCCCAATAGCTGGGCCAATCTGGCCCATCTGCAAGAGCTGTGAGTTACTGTTTACCATAACAACTTGCCATCCTGCCATGTTGCCATACTGAGTTTCTCTTTACAGTATTGAACAAGTATCCGATCCAGGCAGGAGCTTTGTTTGCCAAAGCAAATATACTGTGGCGTCTAGGATTGAGCAAGTATCCGAACCAAGCAGGAGTTTTTTTTTCGCCAAAAACAAGCAGAACAGCTCGAAACGAACTTCTACAGCCCTTAACTTAAATTGCTTCTCTAGGAAACCCGCACTGCTCGAGCTGCAAACCTGGAGTTGGACGTGACTCAACTAATTTGTTTTGAAGCTTTCAAATAGTTCAACTTGAGCCAGTACTGGTCTCTTACAGTCTGGATTCTGTAAGTTACAGAAAAAGGCAGCGTTTTTCTTTGCTTAAAGCCTATCCCTGTGGCTCTTTAAACAGCATTTTTTTTTTTTTTTTTTTTTTTACAGTGACCTGGGAGGCAACAATTTTGAAGGCACAATTCCGGCAATATTCTCGGCCCTAACAGGCCTGACTAAAATGTAAGTTTCAAGTGTCCTCCCTGCTTCCATTGCCCCACCCTCACTCTGTTTGTCCTTGTCTATATCCCTCGTCCCTTCCTCACTCCGTACACCACTTGTTTTGCCCCCCTCTACTGCAGAGACCTTTCCTATAATCAGCTGTCTGGTACCATCCCCGCATTTGCCACCAGCCTCCAGTCAATGTATGTCATTCTTCCCTCCGGCTCCAGTCAATATATGTCACAAGCCTAGCCCGAGCACATTCTACTTCCCATACCTTCATGATTCAGTACATTTTCGACAATCAGCTTCCCCCCTTCCCTTCATGCATTCCCTGCCGAACCATTTTCTTTTGCCTCGCTGGATCTTCCTGTCTTTGTTTCTGTGCTTGAAGCTCTCAGGATTTTTCTGTTGGAGGTCCAATTTGCATGTTCTCCCAGCCTCTATCCTTGGTGCTTTCAACCAATCATGCAGAGAGAGCCGTGCAAAAAAAAAAAAAAATGTAGCTGCAGGAATATCGAACCAACATTTCGATATCCCACATCTGCTGCACCACCAACATTTCAACAACGGCTGCTGCATGGCTTCCTGCCTTATCCTGCCATGCCAAACCAGAACGCGCACCCTGATCCCCCATTCCTGCTGCACCCTGATCCCCCATTCTTGCTGCACCCTGATCCCCCATTCCTGCTGCACCCTGATCCCCCATTCCTGCTGCACCCTGATCCCCCATTCCTGCTGCACCCTGATCCCCCATTCCTGCTGCACCCTGATCCCCCATTCCTGCTGCACCCTGATCCCCCATTCCTGCTGCACCCTGATCCCCCATTCCTGCTGCACCCTGATCCCCCCATTCCTGCTGCACCCTGATCCCCCATTCCTGCTGCACCCTGATCCCCCATTCCTGCTGCACCCTGATCCCCCATTCCTGCTGCACCCTGATCCCCCATTCCTGCTGCACCCTGATCCCCCATTCCTGCTGCACCCTGATCCCCCATTCCTGCTGCACCCTGATCCCCCATTCCTGCTGCACCCTGATCCCCCATTCCTGCTGCACCCTGATCCCCCATTCCTGCTGCACCCTGATCCCCCATTCCTGCTGCACCCTGATCCCCCATTCCTGCTGCACCCTGATCCCCCATTCCTGCTGCACCCTGATCCCCCATTCCTGCTGCACCCTGATCCCCCATTCCTGCTGCACCCTGATCCCCCATTCCTGCTGCACCCTGATCCCCCATTCCTGCTGCACCCTGATCCCCCATTCCTGCTGCACCCTGATCCCCCATTCCTGCTGCACCCTGATCCCCCATTCCTGCTGCACCCTGATCCCCCATTCCTGCTGCACCCTGATCCCCCATTCCTGCTGCACCCTGATCCCCCATTCCTGCTGCACCCTGATCCCCCATTCCTGCTGCACCCTGATCCCCCATTCCTGCTGCACCCTGATCCCCCATTCCTGCTGCACCCTGATCCCCCATTCCTGCTGCACCCTGATCCCCCATTCCTGCTGCACCCTGATCCCCCATTCCTGCTGCACCCTGATCCCCCATTCCTGCTGCACCCTGATCCCCCATTCCTGCTGCACCCTGATCCCCCATTCCTGCTGCACCCTGATCCCCCATTCCTGCTGCACCCTGATCCCCCATTCCTGCTGCACCCTGATCCCCCATTCCTGCTGCACCCTGATCCCCCATTCCTGCTGCACCCTGATCCCCCATTCCTGCTGCACCCTGATCCCCCATTCCTGCTGCACCCTGATCCCCCATTCCTGCTGCACCCTGATCCCCCATTCCTGCTGCACCCTGATCCCCCATTCCCGCGGGAAGACTCAAAAGTATTCCTGCTACTTGTTCTTTGATCTCTACATCATTTCCACTTTCACCGCCCCTCTCTTCCTTTCATCCCTCCCACTTCAGTTTTCCATCCCGCCCCTCTTGCCCTGATCCCATCACCAGCTCCTTCAACCCTGCCCCCCCACCTTGCACTCCATCTTCACTTTGTACTTTCAAAACCTTATTCCCCATGGCCTCTTCTCTCCCACCTTTCACTTATCCCTCATGGCCTCGCATCCTTTGCTCCACTCTTCTTCCCCTTTCTCTTGTCGCCTCCTGTCTTGTCTGCCTATTCAGATTCCTCCATTCCAATGCCTTAAGTGGGCCCATCCCACCACACCTACCGGCACTGCCCAACCTCTCTGAATTGTAATGCCCCCCATGTTTGCCCATTTTTACGCACTTTATCTTCAAACCTCCAGACCTATTCACTGCTTGAGCTGTCCTTCCACCTGCACTATCCGTCTAGCCCCATTTCCCTAACCTTGTTTCACTCCCTTTCTAATCTGCAATGGTTCCTGTATATGGTTGCCCCGGCTGCAGACTACTATCCGACAATCAGTTCACAGGAGCCATCCCCAGCAACTTCAATCGCCTCACTTGGATGACTAGTCTGTATGTCTCTACCCAAGCTGCCCTCCCCCCATGTACCTCTCCCTGCCCCCATGACACGAAACTGCTGCATCAACGGAATGTATTGGAGAGGGTCTCACATGTTACTGGTTGTTCTTTGCTGTGCCTCTGAACATAATTGCAACTTTTCCAGCATTATGCTGGTTGCCTATGTGTGTGTGTGTGTGTGTGTGTGTCTGTGTGTGTGTGTGTGTGTTTGTGTGTGTCTGTGTGTGTCTGTGTGTGTGTCTGTGTGTGTATGTGTGTGTGTGTGCTATGTGTGTGTGTGTGTGTGTGTGTGTTGGCGCGCGCGTGTGCGTGTGCGCGCACGCACGTGCGCGGGCTCCACATGACAGAAACATTTCTTTCAGCAAATTGAGCTCAGGCCTTGACGTGGTGGCTCAGATGACATGGCTCAACGACATGTGAGTGCTCTCCCCTCTTCAGCACATCAGCTGGCCCTCCTTCCCTTCGTCCACTTTGGCTGCCTGCAACGTCTGAGCTAGGACACTCTCCAATACTGGCTATGCAGATCGATCAATGACAACAACTTCTCTGGTGTGCTTCCGGCGTCCTTCTCAGCAATCAGTAATCTCTTCTACCTGTGAGTCTACTCGATCCATCGCTCAACTCATCAATGCAACAACCCCTTTCATGAAACCTAATCGGGTGGGTGGGATGCATGCAGCAACAGTAAGCGTTGTGACTGCCCCTGTTGTAAGTTCACCTGAGTATTTGTGTGCCCGTGCTTCTGTTATCAATTCATGTGGCCTTGTATTCCAATTCATGCTGGATGACTGCTTGTTGTGTGCATAAGTGTATGCACTTGTATAATTTCATATCATCTGCTCGTTTTGTTGTACACTTCTGTCTTGGTATATAGCTCAAATAAGCAATATATATATACTTATACATACATATATATATATATATCTTCACAAATATTATCCTGCATTCATGTGCAAGAGCCAGAGCACGTATGCAGTGGCCTGTTCAAGAGCGAATGAATGCGTGCTTCACTATGTATCTGTTTCATCATCTCCCCACCACGCCCTGGGCTTCATTCAGGAATGCTGGAAACAACCATTTCACAGGAACCTTCCCGGATTTTATTCTGCGCCGCAAGGGCCTTCCTTACCTGTAAGACATGCACTAGTGGCCTTGAACAAAAGCACTTGTTGCACTAAAGGAGCAAAAACGCAAGCAAAGTACCGAGCCGAACCGGCTCGCTTTCGTTTGGTTTTTTTTCAGCGGAACTGCACAGAAGAGCCTTTTATTCGTGCATGTAATGCATCCTTGCGTGACCTGAAGCAAAGGTGGGTTGCACTGATGAAGTAACTGCTGCCATTTCTTGCAGTGCTTCCTCCTACCTGAAGCTTGGCCAACAACTCATAAGTCAATCGCAATCAAAATGGTAATGGCAGGAACTTGGGCAACAACAGGTTCACAGGGACTATCCCCCGCGAATTGACCGAGTTTGTCGACCTAGGTCACATGTAAGTTGCACTGCTGCGAACTGTAGTCGAATTGAGGATCCTAGACATGAGCAAATGCCAAAGCGAGTAATTCTTCACTCGTTTTCAGCCGACTCGTTTTGAAAACGAGTCGAGTTGAATATTACTCGTACGAGTAATTTTGCCCCTAGGGCCGACTCATTACTCGTTGGAAAAAACGAGTAATATATTACTCGGTCCGAGTAGTGAATTACTCGTTTTGGATCAAGTAATAGTCGACTCGTTTTTGACAGTATATTTTTGTTTTTTGTTTTTTGTAGGTAATTGTACCCAGGCCGTGTGCTTACAGGGTGTGTGCTTTTTGTTCTTTACATACCTCGGGGGACGTACCTGAGAGGGAAATTAAAGGTCATGAATTATTACGCTAAGGTATGCGCGCGCGGGTAAGAGAGTAGTCTAGACTAAAAGACATTCTAACGGATGTTTTTCCTTGCAGATCGAGTAGGAACTAGATCGATTGAGGCGGAAACTGAACCTTGAGCACAACCGTGTACGCAGATCGAGGGGAAAAGTGATCTGCGAACATGCGAATTGTGATGGCATTTGGAACGGGAAGTGAATCTGCATTCGAAATGTGTTGGCAGATCGAGCGGGAACAGATATGCGAACACAAATTTCACACCCCCCACCCCCTCCCAACCCGACCCCCCCCAACTCCCCCAGGCCCCCTCTTCCAGTTTCGAAATCGAGTAATATGCGAGTAACGAGTACTTGTTTGTTGGCGAGTACTTGTTTACTTCCGAGTACTCGTTTTACCCTAAATTACTCGTTACTCGATTCCGAAAACGAGAACGAGTAAATAGCGAGTACTCAATTAAAAACGAGTTATACTCGACTCGACTAAACGGAGTAATTACTCGGAAACTGCAGACTCGTTACTCGCCCAAAACGAGTTACGAAAACGAGTCGAGGAAATTTCTCGAATCGTTGCTCATGTCTAGAGGATCCGTTTAGCATTGTGCTTGAATATTTGAGGCCACTTTGGCTCTTGATACCATTGTGCAGAATGCTCAATAGCAACAATTTCCATGGAACTTTCCCATGGGGCCTCCTTGAGCTACCCGGTTTATCCTGGCTGTAAGAAGCTCCAATACCCCTGTTTCAGAATATTATTTTTCTTCCACCTTGTCGTTCTCTCAATGAAAGGGTGAAGGTCTGAGGATGCATACAAAACCTGTTAGGACTATCCCTGATATGTCAAATGGTGATTTGCAAGTACTTTGCTCCACTGCCAAGATGCATTCATGTTCGATGAGTCGGTTTGAGTGCCAAGACACATGAATGCATTTGAGTCGACTCAAAAACGGTCTCGCAGAGGCCACGATGCATTCTTGTGCTTTGGTTGGCAGAATGCTTGGTTTTCTAACTGCTGCATCCAGCCTTCCCTTTGATTTCCAAGCACAGGGATGTATCTAACAACTCTCTTTCTGGGGAACTCCCACGTACTCTCAGGGTCCCAACTTTTCTGAACATGCTGTAAGCAGTTGAAGAACTGTGTGCTGCCACCACTGTGTGTGCCTGGTGCAGCACTGTCCCTTCATGGTTAACTTTCATGCCCCTGAAATCTTCGTCTCCTTTTGAGTTGTGCAGAAACCTGGGAGGAAATGACTTCACGGGCTCCTTACCAGACTTCTCACGCTGGAACATCAGCTGTGACGAGATGTAAATATGTCTTCTCACACTCTCTTCCTCCTTTTCCCACTCTAGCTCAATCTTGGCCTTAGCACCACGAGGGTGCAAAATTGTGCCTTTTTATTTCATGGGCGGAAAATCACGTACGACGTTTTCACTTCACCCAAACTTTTTGATTATTTTGGTCTGGAAGAATATTGTATCTTGGTGAAAAACTTTGACTGAAATTTTCAAAAACAAAAAAAAACCAAAACAAAAAACAAAGATATTAATTGTCAAGAGTTGATGGATGCAAATCTAACTTGCATTCCCGCTGCCAGATCTGTGCAGAGCCTGGGTGAAAGCAGTTTTCTGTAACTGACCCAGGGGCTTGCCAGGCTTGACCCGGTCCTTTAAGGCTGAAATCGGGCCAGGTTTTTGGAAACTCCAACCCGGGAAGACTAAACCTGACCCGACCCAGTTCCCGTCTGGCCCGCCCAAACCGGGTCAGGTCGGCTCGGGTCAAATGCCCATTTTTTGCATGTAAAGCATTGCACCCAAAGTAAGCTGTTGCGTTCACACCACTCACGTCAGGCTATCTCGCTGCTGCCTCGCGTGTGTTTGTGGCTCAGAAATCTCAGCGGCAACAACTTCACAGGGTCGATTCCCGACTCCATCTCCACCCTCACCACCCTCGATGGCATGTGAGTGACCACAACAGCCATGATGCCTGCCATGAGCACATACACGTGGAGCTATTTCCATCTGAACAAGGCGGGTTGTCGTGTACAAAAGTCACCGTCGAACCTTTGCAGTGGCACGCAGCCAATGGCAGGAGAAAGGTAGCAGTGGCAGCCTATGCACACGCGCAACTACATATGCTTGATTCGCACTTCTAACCAATATACCCCGTTGCTATTCCCATGATCTGCAGTTTTCTCAACAACAACCAGTTGACTGGCACCATCCCTTCAGCCATCTTCACCATGAAGAAATTGGCATACATGTAAGCCGCATGTGTTTAGGGATCCCCTTTCTAAGTGCCCATCACACGTTCCTACCTCTGCCCAATGGTACTTTCCTTTCTTGCACCAGCCTGCACAACTTCTGCATGCTCTGCTTCTCATCAAAATGTCTCCCTGCCATTGCTGTTGCTCCTCAGCTACTTGGCCAACAACCATCTCACTGGCAGTCTGCCAGCTGCCATCAGCCAACTGAAGAATCTTGAACAGATGTAAGCGTGCCATGTGCTTTCCTCCTCTACTTTTTTCAATTCAAGAACAGTGGCAGCGTAGGAAGCAACACAGGCAGCACATGCACAAGCTTGTAGTACATCGTGACCATAACAGACCTAGCGAGCTTCCACACTAAGAAATGAACACAAGAGACAAATCAGGCAAACATCACCTGTGCCATCCCCACTCCACACTATACCCTGCTCTTTATGCAACCGTTTTTATCCGCCTTCGTTACTGCCAATGCTCTGCCTGTCACCCCAGCTGGTTGGACAACAACAAGATTGAAGGCCCTCTGCCAGCTGGCATTTGCTCGCTGCCCTGGCTGTGGCGCCTGTGAGTACAGTCATACACTTGATCGATTTTTTTTTAGGGGTTTTTTGTCTAAGGACGATTTGTAAGGACATTTTTTGAACTTCTCTCCTGTTTTCATGATTTTGGAGATTTTTAAAATGTGTGAAGACGTTTCACAATTTTGTGTTTGCCTTTCTGTATGGATGTGTGACTCACAGCACGGCATAGTGTGTGCTGTGCTGCTGGCAGCTTCATTAGCAACAACTCCCTCTATGGACCCCTTCCAGACTGCCTCTTTGACAAGTGTATCACACAAATGTGAGCCTACCATGCATACTTTATTCTCGGTACCATCTATGGCAGCTCGCACCCTCAACATGAGCATTGCACAGACATAATTATCTGGTGGGACGGCCTCCAATCAAGCACTCAATATCATCTCCTGCCCTCCGTGATCCCCCTGTACTTCCTGCAGTGATGTGAGCGGCAACAGCCTGTATGGGCGCATCAACCGCGACTTCAAGAACATGGTGACGACCATGGGTGCCCCCGCCCGCGACTTTGAGTACATAGCGGCGGATGACAGTCCCATTGTCAACTTGGCTCACAACTTCTTCTTTGGAGATGGGGTGCTCTTTGCTCTCGGCTGCAAGGTCTGCCCCACTGAGATCAACGAGCCCAACAACCTGGGCATAAGGGACAGCTTTGCATGGCGAGAGCTTGGTGGCAAGTGCAACTTTCTTGCTCCAAATATGCTGGCGAGGGTGAGTCTGTCGGGCAACTGCCTGACCCTCACCCTGAACAACCAGTGCTCATCCAACGCCACCCAGCGCAGCACAGCAGCCTGCCAGGCGTTCTGCAGCATCACGGACAACGGCCCGTGCGACGGCCATGGGGCGTGTGTGCCGGCTGACCCTGCCTCCCCCTCCAACTTCACGTGCCTCTGCGATGCGGGGTACACCACAGTCGACTCGGGCAACGGTTCCTCCACATGTGCCATCGTCCACTCCACCACCAACACCACCACTGGTAACCCTTGCTTCATTTTTTCAAATCCACATTTCATTCCTATGTTCTGCACCAGTAACCACGTTTCATGAGGCTTCTGCTATACACATGTTTATCACCGCCCCATGTCCATTCCTTGGCAGTATCGTCTCTGTCGACGGATGCCATAGTGGGCATTGTTCTGGGCAGCTTTGCTGGCTTCACGCTGTTGGCTTCTGTGGTCGCATGGCTGCTGTGGCCCCGCGGACAGAGTGAGCCCCTCAAACCCTTCAGTTCCATTCCATCTCCCCCATTACTGCACCACTTTCCTGGCTTCCTTCCCGACTCCCCACCTCTCCCAATTTTCGCTCTCCACTGCCCTCATGCTCGCCTCTCCTCTGCCCTCATGCTCGCCTCTACTCTGCCCGCATGCTCGCCTCTCCTCTGCCCGCATGCTCGCCTCTCCTCTGCCCTCATGCTCGCCTCTCCTCTGCCCTCATGCTCCCCTCTCCACTGCCCTCATGCTCGCCTTTCCTCTGCCCTCATGCTCGCCCTCCTCTTCCCTCATGCTCCCCTCTCCACTGCCCTCATGCTCGCTTCTCCTCTGCCCTCATGCTCCCCTCTCCACTGCCCTCATGCTCGCTTCTCCTCTGCCCTCATGCTCCCCTCTCCACTGCCCTCATGCTCGCTTCTCCTCTGCCCTCATGCTCCCCTCTCCACTGCCCTCATGCTCGCTTCTCCTCTGCCCTCATGCTCCCCTCTCCACTGCCCCCATGCTCGCCTCTGCTCTGCTCTCATGCTCGCCTCTGCTCTGCTCTCGTGCTCTGTCCACGCATCTACACCCTTAGTCTCTCACACCTCTGGTCTGAAATTTTTTCTGTGCGCAGAGAAGTGGGAGGGGTTGGACGTGTGTGAGCAGTTCTCGCTGCAGCAGATGCTGACTGCCACCAACAACTGGTCGGAGGAGAATGTGCTGGGCAAGGGCGGCTTCGGCATTGTCTACAAAGGCCGCTCGCCACAGGGCCAGCTGTGGGCCATCAAGCGCTCCACCATCATGACCAACGACTTTGAAACGGAGGTGATGCATGCCTGTAATCCTTTGTGTACAAAAAGAGGCGTCGTGAGAAAACACCGCACTCTCTGCTTCCCAAAATGCTGACCTGCAAATGGATGTCTTGCCCTTACATGCCAATGTGCATCTGCCTGCTTGTTGCAGGTGCGAGCCATGGCGTCTCTCCACCACACACACCTCGTGCGCCTGCTGGGCTTCTGCCTGGACCAGAACGTGGAGACGGGCAAGCAAGAGCAGATCCTCGTGTACGAGTTTATGGCCAACAGGGACCTCGAGTACCATATTCACAGGACCAAGCGTGAGTCGCCCAAGCACAATTGTAGAACGGCATTTGTTTGTTAGTTTGTTTTGTTGTTTTCTTCAAAGGACATGACACCACCACTCATGAAATCATGTGTTCTGCTTGGCATACATGTTGCATGGCCCAGGTCCGCTCTCGCTGCGCCAGAGGTTGCGCCTGGCACAGGGAGCAGCAGAGGGCCTGGCGTACCTGCATGGGTTTGACACACCCATCGTTCACCGCGACATCAAGCCGGCCAACATCCTTGTGTCTGCCGACATGCAAGCCAAGGTGGCTGACTTTGGGCTGCTCAAGCGCCTCACTCACGGCGATGCTGATGCCACTCGGGTGGCCGGCACTCCGGGCTATGTGGATCCAGATTACAACCGCACCAACGTCATCACTGTCAAGAGTGACGTGTTCAGGTGCGCATGCTTGTTCCTTTGCACAACGCGATTGTGCTTTTCTGTTGTTTTTTTTTTTTGGTAAATCTTCCAGGTTATGCCCTGTATTGCTTTCTTTACCACTGTACATGCTTGTTCCTTTCCATGACACAGTGAACTTGTGCACTTTTTGTTTATCCCCTTGGCTATGTTGAGTTTGTGTACCTTGTATTGCTATCGCTACATATGTCCACTTCTTTGCACACAATGGATGATTACTTGCAGCTTTGGAATTGTGCTTCTTCAGCTGCTGAGTGGCAAGTCACCCCATGTCGACCCAAAAACACATATAAGAAAATGGGTATGCACATCAAGTATGAAACTCTCTTTTGTTATGGATGAGAGTTGGAAACTTGCATGTAAGAGAAAGGGTATGCTGATAAGATGTAGAATTCGTCTGACTTCGTTATTTTGTGGCTGAACGTTTATCCTGGACTTCCTTTTATGGTGATTTTCACTGCTTCCTTGTTGTCCTGCTGCCTTGCACCTCCCTTGCTGCTTCGCTTGCTGCTTTGCATTGCCTCACCATTCATTATCCATTCGTGTTATGTGTACGTTGCCCTCTAGGCTATGAAGCTGGTGGAGACATATGAGGTGGAGGAGCTGAGGGACAGCAAGATGCCGGCAGTAAGTGAGGAGGCCATAGTGGACTTTGCAGACCTGGCTCTGGACTGCATCAAGTCTCCCGGCACACGGCGACCCACCATGAAGGATGTGGCATACCGCCTCAGTGCCCTCATTGACAAGCACTGCCCTGACGAGGAGGACGAGTGGGAGAATGTTGTGACAGAAGAAGGGACAAGCAACCAAGGGATGCCTTCTGAGTTGTGTGGAGATGGAGGGAGGGAGCCTGAGAGGTCTCATGGCTCACAGTCTGGTGTGATCTCATTCACGGGTACTTTCTCCATGACTGATAGCCTCAAGAGCTGGCTGCAATTGAAGCCATTCATAGGGCGTTGAGTTTGCCCATAATAATGGTATAGGTAGGTGGTACACTAATAAAAAAGGATCTGGTGGCTACTCATCATGCATCAGAATGAATGGCTGGCCTGATATTGTATCAGTTGTGAGGCAGGAGACGCATTTCCATGAATTTGGGATCTGGAAGTAAGAATGGCATGAGATGAGTGAGTCAGCCGAGCTTTGTGCTGTACATGGGAGGTACTACAATGAAAGCCATTGGCACTTGCATTACTTTGATGTGGACACTCGTCAACTACCCACAAGGCTGCCATTCATGATGGTGGATGGACAGCAACGTGGCAGAGATTGCAGGAAACGTGAGTGAGCGGAGCGGGGCGGGGACCTGCCTAAGTCTGGAATGAAATGTATGCCAGGGTTTTGGGGTAAGAGTTTAGCCCCACAAGCAGCCGACAATAGCAGTGTCGCCACCAACGCTGTTGTCGTCATTATCATTGCTGTGGTGATGTCATGTCATCATGCCTGCCACTGTCATCATGCCCGCCACTGTCGTCATTGTCATCATGCCTGCCACTGTCAGTTGTCGTTTTGAGACGTCTCAACTGAACTACCAACTTTTGAGACATCCAGAAAACCACCATCGCTTGTTGTCATCCTTACAGGTTGTCAACATCATTTCATGGCGTCATGCAGCACGCGCAGATTACCCGCATGATTATCCTTATCGGTTGTCCAGCACCAGAATCTCTGCGTCATGTCCTCTATGAACACACACAGCAGCAGCACAAGCGAAGGAAAAGAGTGAGCAGGGCAGGGACGGGATAAAACACACGCTTTCACTATTAGCACGTCGTCACCGCCTTCGCTGCGCGCCGATGGATACAGCTTCGACCGCGCCTGCGCCGCTTTATCGCCCGCGTCGCCCACGCCGGAACCGAAAACGCAAGATCCAACTTAGGTTGGGCAGGGACGACGAGTTGAGAGGCAAGGTTTACTCACTATTTTTTTCGCAAGGATAAAACATAGTTGCGGTGATACCCTAACTACCCCCCTTAGCCACTTTCATATCTACTGATTGAGGATTTCACCTTGCATATTTTATCTCTCATTCTTTCTCATTCTCGCTTTGCGCTCACCAGTGGGAGAAGGTGCAGGAGAGTGCGGGAGCGGTTGACGATTCAAGCCTGCCTCAACGCCACAATGCCGCCTTTCCTGTCAGGCTGGGGGGTTTAGGAGGGGCGAGACCAAGCTTGGGATGGAGAGGTGACCCTTGTCGACCCACTTGCCGACCCACTTGCCGACCCTTGCCGACCCACTTGGCGACCCTTCCGACCCTTGCCCACCCTTGCCGACCCTTGCCGACCCTTCTGACCCACTTGCCGACCCTTCCGACCCTTGCCGACCCACTTGCCGACCCACTTGCCTTGTCGACCGTTGCCGACCGTTGCCGACCCTTGTCGACCCTTGCCGACCCACTTGCCGACCCTTGCCGACCCACTTGCCAACCCTTGCCAACCCTTGCCTGACCCTTGCCAACCCTTCCAGACACACTTGCCAACCCTTGCCGACTCTTGCCGATCCTTGCCGACCCTTGCCGGCCCACTTGCCAACCCTTGCCGACCCTTGCCAACCCTTGCCGACTCTTGCCGATCCTTGCCAACCCTTGCCGGCCCACTTGCCAACCCTTGCCGCCAACCCTTGCCGATCCTTGTCGACCCCCTTACCACCCTTGCCAACCCCCTTGCCGGCTTTTGCCGACCCATGCTAACTCGTGCCGACCCTCGTTAACCTTGCCGACATCCTCCCCCGGACCCTTGCCATCCCCCTCCCCCACCCTTGTCAAACATTGCCGACCGTTGCCGACCATGCCGACCCCCTCCCCCACCCCTACCAAACCTTGCCGACCGTTGCCGACCCTCTTGCCGGTCCTTGCCACCCCTCGCCGACCCCCCCCCACCCTTGCCGACCCTTGCCGACCCACGCCGACCCACGCCGACCCACGCCGACCCACGCCGACCCACGCTGACCCGTGCGACCCGTGCCGACCCATGCCGATCCATGCCGACCCGTGCCGACCCGTGCCGACCACCCTTGCCCACTCTTGCCAGCCATAACCCAACCTCACACACCCTCACCCAACATCAAAACCAGGCCAGTCCCCCTTTTCCCATTATCCCCTGCACCCTTTCCCCCATCTCCTAAACACCCATCCCTTTTCAATATGACAAAGCATTTGTTTCGGGCCCCTAGGCTTCCCTAGCCTTCAATGCACATCAAAGCATCTCCCACTAATGTATTAGTGCTACAACAAAAACAATAATGGTCTTGATGAAGATGCCAAGGAAACGCACAAGCCTTTGTACGTACCTATTTTCACAACACAGTGCAAACAGAGACCAGGTGGGGGAACAAATGGGGGGAAGAGAAGGAAGGAAACAAAATAAATTGTCAGTGAGGGGGGTGAGATGACTGGAGGAGGTGAAATCAGTGGGGGGGTTGTGATGAGGGAAGCAAGTGAAATGTGTGGGGGGGTTAAGATGAGTCAAGTCAAGAAATGAGTGAGGGGGTTGAAATCAGTGGAGGGAGTTGAAATGAGTGAGGGAATCGAAATGAGTGAGAGCTGAAACCAGTAATGGGCTTACAAATCAGCGATCTTAACGAGGGACTCCAAATCGGTGCGGGAGTTGAAATGAGTGAGAGAGTTGAAAAGAGTGAGAGAGTTGAAAAGAGTGAGAGAGCTGAAAAGAGTGAGAGAGCTGAAAAGAGTGAGAGAGTTGAAAAGAGTGAGAGAGTTGAAAAGAGTGAGAGCTGAAATGAGTGAGAGAGTTGAAAAGAGTGAGAGAGTTGAAAAAAGTGAGAGAGCTGAAAAGAGTGAGAGAGCTGAAAAGAGTGAGAGAGCTGAAAAGAGTGAGAGAGCTGAAAAGAGTGAGAGAGCTGAAAAGAGTGAGAGGGTTGAAATCAGTGAGAGGGTTGAAATCAGTGAGAGGGTTGAAATCAGTGAGAGGGTTGAAATCAGTGAGAGGGTTGAAATCAGTGAGAGGGTTGAAATCAGTGAGAGATTGGTATGAGTGAAAGCATTGAAATGAGAGAAAGCATTGAAATGAGTGAAAGCATTGAAATGAGTGAAAGCATTAAAATGAGTGAAAGCATTGAAATGAGTGAAAGCATTGAAATGAGTGAAAGCATTGAAACGAGTGAAAGCATTGAAATGAGTGAAAGCATTGAAACGAGTGAAAGCATTGAAATGAGCAAAGGCATTGAAATGAGTGAAAGCATTGAAATGAGTGAAAGCATTGAAATGAGTGAAATCATCGAAATGAGTGAAGGCACAGAAAGGGTAGAAATCGGTCAACGAATTGATATCTGTAAAAGCATTCAAATCAGTGAGAGGGTTTCAATCAGAAGGTTGAACTCAGTGAGAGAATTGAAAACAGTGAAAGCATTGAAGTCAGAAAGAGGGTTGAAACCTATGAGAGGGTTGAAATCAGTCAAAGGATGGTACGAGGGCAGGGAAGGGAAGGTCAGGAGATGGGAGGGAGGCAGGAAGGAAGGGGGCAGTGGGGTGCGGGTAAGAGGAAAGTGGGAAGCGGCGAGGAGGGAAGAAGTTGATTTCCCTGGTGTGTTTTCGTTTGTCCTCATGTTCCCCTGGAGTTTCACATTCACTTGGTTGGTGGTGCAGCAACGGGAGAGAAAAATGGTACCTGGTGTACCATCACCACAGAGAGAAGAACAAAATGGAAAGCAAACTGAACAAGCACCGGGACGGCTGTGGCGGGATACACGGAGGGGTGCAGAGTGGTTGAGGCACTGTACGCTCTTCAACAGAAACACGAGGTTTAGGGTTTCGGTTCGTTGCGTTAGTATGACAGTGCGTGTAGGGTTTCGGTTCCTTGTGCGCAGTTCTCAATCAAGGAAGGGACCCAACGGACATGATGTGCGTACCTACCTGGTGGTGCGGACGCACGACGACGCCGCAGCCCCCCCGCCAGCACGCTCCTGCGCCACAAACCGCTGATCCGCACGTTGCGCGCCCAGCCCAGCCCGCGCAACCGCATGTCCGCGCGGAGACGCGCGCACGGCACCAAGGACACGCTCCCGCGCCGCGATGACCAGCGACGCTCAAACTGCTCGAGCACCAGCGGGTTTAGGGACGGCCAGCTCAAGCGACGAAATACAAGCGACGAGAGAGAGGCTACGAGATACAAGCGACGAAATACAAGCGACGAGACAGAAGCGACGAGACAGAAGCGACGAGACAGAAGCGACGAGACAGAAGCGACGAGACAGAAGCGACGAGATAGAAGCAACGAGATAGAATCGACGGCATACAAGCTACTTACAAACCGATGTGAACTTATGAGCAGCCTTTCACAAGTGCAACGCAACGACTTCTGTTTTGCGTGGTGCTTAACAATGGAATAATACGAGGACGCACCTGGCGCTGACTTTAGCATCGTAATCGAAGGCCACGAAGTGATTGCTCCGATCTGCGGGGTCGCGCAGCAGCCGCCGTGAGCTGCGCTTCTCGCTCGCCAATCCCCACGCCCTGCTGCTTGCGCGCACGCCCTTCTGCTCGCGCCCGCGACTGCTGCTCCCTCACCGAGCCTGGGAGGAAAGGGAGTAGTTTAATGGGGGGGAAGGGAGGAGGTCGATGGGTTAAACGAGGGATGTCGACAGGGGGAATAGAGGAAGACGAAGGGGGAAACTAAGGCTCTGAAAATGTCACTTGAAACAACACACGGGAACTAAATCGCCGCTTTGTCTAACATAGCGTGTGCGGCGGGAGTAACGCGTTAACTTACCGCATCGTTCCGCTTGCTTAACTCGACGGTAGTTTCGCGTACAGATCTACCTAAATCAAATAGAGACTTACAAAACCACGTGAGCATTTTCACCTAATTTCGAATTGCTTGGGAAATGTAACTTGACCTTATTTCGTACTGCAACGAAGAATCTAATATCTGCAAGCAAGGGAAACTAAGGCCACGCACGTACCAGCGTGCGGGGCCATTGTGAATCGAGGGCATAGCCATGGATCGGAGGAAATGACGGACCGCCCTGATTGCTCGTTTTCGATTCCTTTCGGCAGTGGCTTTGATAGCGACTCCCTCCGCGCTCGCGCCGAATTCCCACGGGCAGTTTTTATTGGTATTTCCTATTTCTAGTGACGAACCGTATAAACGGAAAAATCCGAAGTCTACCTGGTTTCAGTATAGAGGCAGTGGAAAAACTAAAAACCCACTCGGATGACAAGCCATTTGGGCGGCATCAACCCTAAACACCTTGCCTCATGGTATTTAGGGTTGATGCCCTCTACGTGGCATACTATCCATGAGGGTTTTCTTTTTTTGTCCCAACCCTATTCCCAATCGAGTCAGCAAACTGACCGCGGGCAAGAAAAAAAAACTAAAACCCACTCAGATGGCATGCCATCCGAGAAAGCCTCAACCCTGAAATTTTAGGGTTGAGGCTCCCGAATGGCATGCCGTAAGCCATGGGGTATATTTTGTTTGCCCGCGGTCAGCTTGCTGACTTGGTCGTTAGCGCTACCGGGCGCTACCGACCGCTACCGGTTCTAGAAAGTGAAATGTGTTGGAACCAAAGAAGCGACCGCGTCAGGGGTGCTCAAACGAACCCCCTGAGGAGTTTCGAATTTGTCACAAGCAAAAGGCAGACTTGTGTGGTTGGAAATGTACTGTACAGTGATGGGTCTGTCAAAAACAGAAATCACCGCAGGAGCTGACGTGTACAGCAGAGCATGCAGCCTTCGCGCTCGCGCGAACCTCCACACCCCTCGACAGAACGTTGCAGGGACGTCGGTACATTTCAACCCCCGGATCGACGGTTTGGACCGTCACGATCTGTCGACTTCAAATGCAGATCAGTTGGACTATGGCGGATGCACGCGGATCAGGCAAAGACTCCAGGAGTCAGGAAGCGGATCCAGTTGGCGCTTGGGGAGCAAGAGGGTCTCTTGCAACAGAGCCTTCCGGTGCTACTGGTGAAACTGCAAGCGAGCATCAGAGCATGTTAGAAGTGGTTTCGCCGCTGCACCGACTTTAAGAGCGAAAAAACGACAAAAGGGATGCCTGGAAAATGCCTTACCTATGGCGGTGGGAAAGAATAGGCTTGAAATTGAGTTTCTGACGGCGGGAGAAGTTAGGTGTGAGAGCCTGAGGAAGAGCTGGTAAAAACGAGGGTTTCAGGAGGAAGAGAAGGGAGAACGTTCTGGACCGCCAGAATTTTCCCAACCTTTCTGGAGGCGGCGTTCGGTGGAATTGAAGAAAGTCGGTTTCACCGACGGTTCAGTTTGAATTACGGTTTTTCAACGTCGGTTACTGTTACGAAATTCGGATTCGCGACGAGGCGCGTTACGCGAGGCGCGCTTTGAAATTCGGATTTCGGATTGCTTAAATTGCATGTTCTGTTTTCCTCATTGTATCAGATTTTCATAGTGAAACTTTCTGTTTGCAACCTGGGTTGGAAAGCAACCTGTTTGAGCAACTTTCAGTTCAAGTTTGAAGCCCGCTACTGCTACTTTCGTGACTCCTAAGTCACGTGCTTACTACGACTGAGACCAAGAGCTGGTATCAGAGCTGGTTCTAGTGCGTTCCAAGTATCAAAGAAGGGCCAAGACTAGTTCCTGCATCATGCCGAACGGGGATGGTGAGGCAAGCTCGGGTTCTTCAGTCAGTGCTGAAGTTCCCCAAGTCCAAGCCCTCTTGGAGGCTCTAACACAAGGGCAAGTGGTGGCCAGGCCAACGATCGGCCTGAGCGAGGCGCAACGGTTCAATGGCAACAATTACAGCACATGGCGTCTTAAGTTCATGCGGCGGGCAAGAGAGATCGATATATGGCACTTCTACAAGGCGGACGAGGAGACGGAGGAAGGAGTACCTCCACCTGCAACGGCAACAGCACAAGAAAAGAGGACATACAAGAAGAAGAGTTTACAGGCCTTCTTCCAACTATGTCACTCGGTCTCAGACTCCATCGCTGTGGGGCTGGACCAGTTTGCAGACGACATGAATTCAGCACAACGTGCATGGGCATACATGGAAGCCGTATACCTCGGACGGACCGACACGAATCTGACTGCAGTGAGAAAGAAGCTGCTGCTGCTCGCAATGGAACAAACGGAGAAGATTATTGACTATGTCAATAGAGCCAAGAGCTACAATGACGATCTCACAGCAATGGGGGCGCCCGAATCAGAGAAGCACATGATGGGATACATCATCAGCGGCTTACCTAAGGAGTGGACGGCAGAAATCGGAATCTTGACCTGCAACACGCCCAAGGACATGACACAGCTGCTCGAGACCCTCCAGGCGCTTGAGCTGGTCAAAGCTGACCTGAAACGGAGGGAAGCAGTGGAAACGGCAGCAGAGGAGAACAGGCCTGCAAATCTGAATGCAACAGCGACACCAAGGAACTCTGGCAACTGCTACCACTGCGGGAAAAAGGGTCACAAAGCTGCGGACTGTTATTCCAACCCCAATGCAAGAAACTACAAAGGGACAGGGCGCTGGCAGCAAAACAGCGAGACGGGACGTGGAGAAGGCTACAAGACAAGCAGAGGATTCAATGGAAATTGCAACCATTGCGGCAAGTATGGGCACAAGGCTTCTGATTGCTACCACAACCGAGCTAGCAGAAACTTTCGAGGAAAGGAGCTGCAAAGGCCAGCAGCAGCAGCGAAGACAAACCTGATGGAGGCTCCTACGGCTGTGGAAGAAACACCAAAGGTGGACCCCATCCTTGGAGGCGCCCACAAAGCCAACGTTGCTCGAGCATCCGAGGTGTGCCTGCTATCCAAGGGATTCAAAGAAACTACTTGGTTTATGGACAGCGGGTGTACACGGCACATGACACACCGGGCTGATTGGCTACGCAACTACCGGGAATCTGGAGTCCCTTATGTCCTACTCGGGGATGAGGGAAAACTTCAAGTGCAAGGAGAAGGGGACCTGATCTTACAGAGTCCCTATGGGGAGCTGAAAATGGACAACGTTCTACTAGTTGAGAAGCTGTCCCTTAACCTCATAAGTCAAACGCAACTGGACAGCAGTGGCTGCAAGACCTTCATTGGCAATGGAAAGCTGTGGGTGTTCGGTCCCACCTGGAAACTGATAGCGGAAGGCGCAAGGACTGAAGGACTTTACGAGATGAAGCTGAAGGAGCAAAATACGCGTGAAGACAAGGTTACCTATCAACCTGAACCTGTGGAAGGGAAGAAGGCCCGAGAAGAGCTACGTACCATGCTGGAAAACACTGCAGTGGCCGAACTGCAGCAGCTGAAACTTCCGGTGGCAGCAGCGGCAGAAGCGGTTGACATCAGCCTTCTACACAAGAGGATGGGGCACGCAAGCACTCAACGGATCAAGGAAATGATGAAGAAAAACATGGCTGCGGGAGTGAAGGTGACGGGAGCTGAGGAAACCCATACTAAGTGCGACTCATGTGTTGAAGGGAAAGCTACAAAAGCTCCCCATCCAAGACATGGACCGAAGGAGCCATATGGGGCAATGGAAGTGGTGGCAGCGGACGTATGCGGTCCAATGAGGGTCACATCACGACATGGCAGCAGATACTTCGTCACGTTCACAGACATCGGCACAAGGCTCACATGGGTGACGGAAATCAAGGATAAAACTCAGGTTTTTCCGAGTTTTGTGGACTGGTTGGCAGAAGCTGAACGACAAAGCGGCAAGCAACTGAAAGTACTTCGAACCGACAACGGCGGTGAATTCATCAACAAGGAGTTCAACGACTACCTGAAAGCCAAGGGAATACGACGGCAGCGTACTATTCCCCACACCCCTCAACACAACAGTATTGCGGAGCGGGTGAATAGGACACTACTCAACAGCGTGCGAAGCATGATAGCGGACAGCAAGCTACCTTTGAACTACTGGGGAGACGCGCTGGGCATGGCTTGCTGGCTGAAAAATCGCCTACCAACGAAGGGACTTGCAGCTGACCTGACACCTCATGAGGCATTCTACAAACGGAAGCCTAACCTGAAGTTTCTTCGGGTATGGGGCTGTATGACGCAATACAGGCCCCCTGCTGGAGCTGATCACAAACTCCTGCCAAGAGCACGGTGGGGGGTGCACTTGGGAACATGCCCGGAGAGCAAAGGCTGGATTATCAAAGACGTGGAGACTGGAATCGTGCTGGCGACCAGGGATGTGACATTCTACGAAAATCTCAACTACGTGGACTGGAAGGCAAGCAACAAGGGCACAACTCCGGGGACAGCTCCTGCCACACCTCAACGAGCGGAGGAACTACTTGAAGTTGCCCAAAACGAAGGCTTGGGGACAGCGAACAATGAAGGGGAAGAAGAAGAGGAGGAACATACCCAACCGGGAGTGGATTGGGTGTGGGAGCCAACTGAGGAGACGCTCAACCACAATGACATGGAAGAGACTCCTGCAACCCCACACCCGCCGAAATCAGCGAGCAACAAAGCTGAAGGCATTGGAGAGGATGAAGCTGACCCAATAGATCAGTCAAGCAATGAGGGAAAAAGCGACCCGTGGGAATTTTTCGAGACAAGCAACAATGACAAAGGAGCAGCAGAGATCGACAACTTGCTGCAGGATGGTGCTATTCTCATTGGGAGAGAGGAAGGAGGCACGAGCACGGAGAAATCAGGGGAGATGGAAGCAGGCACGTGTGCAAGTGATGCTTCGGTGAAAGGAGAGGAGCTGGGAAGAGGGATGCGGACGAAGAAGCCGAATCCGAGATACCAACAGCTCTTGATGACATGCTGGAAAGACGTGCACACTCACCTCCTCCTCACCTCGACGGCAACCGCGTTGATTACCAAGGAAAGGAGAGAGACTTACCACCTGCCACAAGAACCCTTGACCATCGAGGAGGCACTTTCTGGACCGAACAAGGAGCAGTGGAAAGCGGCTATACAAGAGGAGTTGGACACTCTCGCGGAAAGAGGCACTTGGAAACTCGTCCAAATGCCCGAAGGGAGGCACGCCGTTGGCGTCAAGTGGATTTTTAAGATAAAAACAGGTGACATGGGGCAGCTGGAGAGGTTCAAGGCGCGGCTGGTGGCCAAAGGCTACACGCAAGTGGAGGGGATCGACTACACGGAGACATATGCACCAGTCAGCAAGTTGACTACAGCAAGGACACTCTTCAAGATAGTTGCAGCACGCAACTACATCATGGTTCAACTTGACATCAAGAACGCTTTCCTCTATGGCGAACTTCGAGAAGACATCTACATGGATCAGCCTACAGGAATGGAGGACGGAACTGACAGAAAATGCAAGCTGTTGAAAGCGCTCTATGGGCTGAAACAAAGCCCTAGAGAGTGGTACAAGGCTATGGATGCACGCCTGCTCGAAGGAGGATTCCAGAAAAGTCAGTGCGACAGAGCACTTTACTGGAAAGGGGAAGGAAAGGAGAAAGTCTACCTCCTACTCTACGTCGACGACATCCTAGTGGCGGGAGCATTGGAGGACAGAGTTGAGGAGGTGTGTGCTCACCTTGCAGCCGTTTTTCAAGTGAAGCAGATCCCGCGAGCCACGTTGTTCCTGGGCATGAACCTGGAGCGGGACCGAGAAGGCAGGAAGCTGCTACTTTATCAAAAGAAGTACATTCAACGGCTGCAAGAACGATTTGGGACACCAGACTGCACCAAGGCCATGACAACTCCGCTCAGCAGCCTCTCGGAGAAGGAAATCGATCCTGAAGAAGAACTCATCCAATGGGGCAGCAAGGAGCGAGCAGTGAAGGCTTACCAGTCACGCGTCGGATCGGTGATGTACCCCGTCTCTTGTACACGGGTAGACGTCGCACATGCTGCCAGCTTCTTGGGGCAGAACGTGCTACAGCCAGAAGGCCGCAAGTGGAAGGAGATGCAGCGCACAATCGCTTATCTGCAGCAACGGGGAGAAGAGGGGCTACTCTACGAAGGCGGAGAAGAAACAATGGAGCTAATCGGATATGTTGATGCATCTCATGCATCAGACAAGAAGGACCGGAAGGGAGCTTATGGATACGTCTTTCTCCTGGGCGGGACAGCAATCACTTGGCAAGCAAAGAAGCTAAACGACATTGCACTCTCGAGCGCGGAAGCTGAATACATGGCGTTATTCTACGCCTGTCAAGAAGGAGTATGGCTTCGGCGTTTGATGCAAGAAATGGGGATACACATTGCAGGACCAACTACCATCAGATCGGACAGCATATCGGCCATAGCATTGGCGAAAAACGACAACTGGCACGGACGTACAAAGCACATGGACATCAAATACCATTGGGTGCGTGAACAGCTGGAGAAAAAGGCATTCACCTTTGAGTTCGTACGAACAGAAGATCAAGCAGCCGATTTCCTTACTAAGAACCTTCCGAAGGCAAATTTCGAGCGCTGCAAGTATCTCGTCGGGATGCGGAACCTGCAGGACTTACAGGGGAGCAAGGTGCAAGAACAGTGATGAAGATTTTCAGATCTAGGGTTAGCAGCAGCAAACCACAGGGGAGATTGTTAGAAGTGGTTTCGCCGCTGCACCGACTTTAAGAGCGAAAAAAACGACAAAAGGGATGCCTGGAAAATGCCTTACCTATGGCGGTGGGAAAGAATAGGCTTGAAATTGAGTTTCTGACGGCGGGAGAAGTTAGGTGTGAGAGCCTGAGGAAGAGCTGGTAAAAACGAGGGTTTCAGGAGGAAGAGAAGGGAGAACGTTCTGGACCGCCAGAATTTTCCCAACCTTTCTGGAGGCGGCGTTCGGTGGAATTGAAGAAAGTCGGTTTCACCGACGGTTCAGTTTGAATTACGGTTTTTCAACGTCGGTTACTGTTACGAAATTCGGATTCGCGACGAGGCGCGTTACGCGAGGCGCGCTTTGAAATTCGGATTTCGGATTGCTTAAATTGCATGTTCTGTTTTCCTCATTGTATCAGATTTTCATAGTGAAACTTTCTGTTTGCAACCTGGGTTGGAAAGCAACCTGTTTGAGCAACTTTCAGTTCAAGTTTGAAGCCCGCTACTGCTACTTTCGTGACTCCTAAGTCACGTGCTTACTACGACTGAGACCAAGAGCTGGTATCAGAGCTGGTTCTAGTGCGTTCCAAGTATCAAAGAAGGGCCAAGACTAGTTCCTGCATCATGCCGAACGGGGATGGTGAGGCAAGCTCGGGTTCTTCAGTCAGTGCTGAAGTTCCCCAAGTCCAAGCCCTCTTGGAGGCTCTAACACAAGGGCAAGTGGTGGCCAGGCCAACGATCGGCCTGAGCGAGGCGCAACGGTTCAATGGCAACAATTACAGCACATGGCGTCTTAAGTTCATGCGGCGGGCAAGAGAGATCGATATATGGCACTTCTACAAGGCGGACGAGGAGACGGAGGAAGGAGTACCTCCACCTGCAACGGCAACAGCACAAGAAAAGAGGACATACAAGAAGAAGAGTTTACAGGCCTTCTTCCAACTATGTCACTCGGTCTCAGACTCCATCGCTGTGGGGCTGGACCAGTTTGCAGACGACATGAATTCAGCACAACGTGCATGGGCATACATTGAAGCCGTATACCTCGGACGGACCGACACGAATCTGACTGCAGTGAGAAAGAAGCTGCTGCTGCTCGCAATGGAACAAACGGAGAAGATTATTGACTATGTCAATAGAGCCAAGAGCTACAATGACGATCTCACAGCAATGGGGGCGCCCGAATCAGAGAAGCACATGATGGGATACATCATCAGCGGCTTACCTAAGGAGTGGACGGCAGAAATCGGAATCTTGACTTGCAACACGCCCAAGGACATGACACAGCTGCTCGAGACCCTCCAGGCGCTTGAGCTGGTCAAAGCTGACCTGAAACGGAGGGAAGCAGTGGAAACGGCAGCAGAGGAGAACAGGCCTGCAAATCTGAATGCAACAGCGACACCAAGGAACTCTGGCAACTGCTACCACTGCGGGAAAAAGGGTCACAAAGCTGCGGACTGTTATTCCAACCCCAATGCAAGAAACTACAAAGGGACAGGGCGCTGGCAGCAAAACAGCGAGACGGGACGTGGAGAAGGCTACAAGACAAGCAGAGGATTCAATGGAAATTGCAACCATTGCGGCAAGTATGGGCACAAGGCTTCTGATTGCTACCACAACCGAGCTAGCAGAAACTTTCGAGGAAAGGAGCTGCAAAGGCCAGCAGCAGCAGCGAAGACAAACCTGATGGAGGCTCCTACGGCTGTGGAAGAAACACCAAAGGTGGACCCCATCCTTGGAGGCGCCCACAAAGCCAACGTTGCTCGAGCATCCGAGGTGTGCCTGCTATCCAAGGGATTCAAAGAAACTACTTGGTTTATGGACAGCGGGTGTACACGGCACATGACACACCGGGCTGATTGGCTACGCAACTACCGGGAATCTGGAGTCCCTTATGTCCTACTCGGGGATGAGGGAAAACTTCAAGTGCAAGGAGAAGGGGACCTGATCTTACAGAGTCCCTATGGGGAGCTGAAAATGGACAACGTTCTACTAGTTGAGAAGCTGTCCCTTAACCTCATAAGTCAAACGCAACTGGACAGCAGTGGCTGCAAGACCTTCATTGGCAATGGAAAGCTGTGGGTGTTCGGTCCCACCTGGAAACTGATAGCGGAAGGCGCAAGGACTGAAGGACTTTACGAGATGAAGCTGAAGGAGCAAAATACGCGTGAAGACAAGGTTACCTATCAACCTGAACCTGTGGAAGGGAAGAAGGCCCGAGAAGAGCTACGTACCATGCTGGAAAACACTGCAGTGGCCGAACTGCAGCAGCTGAAACTTCCGGTGGCAGCAGCGGCAGAAGCGGTTGACATCAGCCTTCTACACAAGAGGATGGGGCACGCAAGCACTCAACGGATCAAGGAAATGATGAAGAAAAACATGGCTGCGGGAGTGAAGGTGACGGGAGCTGAGGAAACCCATACTAAGTGCGACTCATGTGTTGAAGGGAAAGCTACAAAAGCTCCCCATCCAAGACATGGACCGAAGGAGCCATATGGGGCAATGGAAGTGGTGGCAGCGGACGTATGCGGTCCAATGAGGGTCACATTACGACATGGCAGCAGATACTTCGTCACGTTCACAGACATCGGCACAAGGCTCACATGGGTGACGGAAATCAAGGATAAAACTCAGGTTTTTCCGAGTTTTGTGGACTGGTTGGCAGAAGCTGAACGACAAAGCGGCAAGCAACTGAAAGTACTTCGAACCGACAACGGCGGTGAATTCATCAACAAGGAGTTCAACGACTACCTGAAAGCCAAGGGAATACGACGGCAGCGTACTATTCCCCACACCCCTCAACACAACAGTATTGCGGAGCGGGTGAATAGGACACTACTCAACAGCGTGCGAAGCATGATAGCGGACAGCAAGCTACCTTTGAACTACTGGGGAGACGCGCTGGGCATGGCTTGCTGGCTGAAAAATCGCCTACCAACGAAGGGACTTGCAGCTGACCTGACACCTCATGAGGCATTCTACAAACGGAAGCCTAACCTGAAGTTTCTTCGGGTATGGGGCTGTATGACGCAATACAGGCCCCCTGCTGGAGCTGATCACAAACTCCTGCCAAGAGCACGGTGGGGGGTGCACTTGGGAACATGCCCGGAGAGCAAAGGCTGGATTATCAAAGACGTGGAGACTGGAATCGTGCTGGCGACCAGGGATGTGACATTCTACGAAAATCTCAACTACGTGGACTGGAAGGCAAGCAACAAGGGCACAACTCCGGGGACAGCTCCTGCCACACCTCAACGAGCGGAGGAACTACTTGAAGTTGCCCAAAACGAAGGCTTGGGGACAGCGAACAATGAAGGGGAAGAAGAAGAGGAGGAACATACCCAACCGGGAGTGGATTGGGTGTGGGAGCCAACTGAGGAGACGCTCAACCACAATGACATGGAAGAGACTCCTGCAACCCCACACCCGCCGAAATCAGCGAGCAACAAAGCTGAAGGCATTGGAGAGGATGAAGCTGACCCAATAGATCAGTCAAGCAATGAGGGAAAAAGCGACCCGTGGGAATTTTTCGAGACAAGCAACAATGACAAAGGAGCAGCAGAGATCGACAACTTGCTGCAGGATGGTGCTATTCTCATTGGGAGAGAGGAAGGAGGCACGAGCACGGAGAAATCAGGGGAGATGGAAGCAGGCACGTGTGCAAGTGATGCTTCGGTGAAAGGAGAGGAGCTGGGAAGAGGGATGCGGACGAAGAAGCCGAATCCGAGATACCAACAGCTCTTGATGACATGCTGGAAAGACGTGCACACTCACCTCCTCCTCACCTCGACGGCAACCGCGTTGATTACTAAGGAAAGGAGAGAGACTTACCACCTGCCACAAGAACCCTTGACCATCGAGGAGGCACTTTCTGGACCGAACAAGGAGCAGTGGAAAGCGGCTATACAAGAGGAGTTGGACACTCTCGCGGAAAGAGGCACTTGGAAACTCGTCCAAATGCCCGAAGGGAGGCACGCCGTTGGCGTCAAGTGGATTTTTAAGATAAAAACAGGTGACATGGGGCAGCTGGAGAGGTTCAAGGCGCGGCTGGTGGCCAAAGGCTACACGCAAGTGGAGGGGATCGACTACACGGAGACATATGCACCAGTCAGCAAGTTGACTACAGCAAGGACACTCTTCAAGATAGTTGCAGCACGCAACTACATCATGGTTCAACTTGACATCAAGAACGCTTTCCTCTATGGCGAACTTCGAGAAGACATCTACATGGATCAGCCTACAGGAATGGAGGACGGAACTGACAGAAAATGCAAGCTGTTGAAAGCGCTCTATGGGCTGAAACAAAGCCCTAGAGAGTGGTACAAGGCTATGGATGCACGCCTGCTCGAAGGAGGATTCCAGAAAAGTCAGTGCGACAGAGCACTTTACTGGAAAGGGGAAGGAAAGGAGAAAGTCTACCTCCTACTCTACGTCGACGACATCCTAGTGGCGGGAGCATTGGAGGACAGAGTTGAGGAGGTGTGTGCTCACCTTGCAGCCGTTTTTCAAGTGAAGCAGATCCCGCGAGCCACGTTGTTCCTGGGCATGAACCTGGAGCGGGACCGAGAAGGCAGGAAGCTGCTACTTTATCAAAAGAAGTACATTCAACGGCTGCAAGAACGATTTGGGACACCAGACTGCACCAAGGCCATGACAACTCCGCTCAGCAGCCTCTCGGAGAAGGAAATCGATCCTGAAGAAGAACTCATCCAATGGGGCAGCAAGGAGCGAGCAGTGAAGGCTTACCAGTCACGCGTCGGATCGGTGATGTACCCCGTCTCTTGTACGCGGGTAGACGTCGCACATGCTGCCAGCTTCTTGGGGCAGAACGTGCTACAGCCAGAAGGCCGCAAGTGGAAGGAGATGCAGCGCACAATCGCTTATCTGCAGCAACGGGGAGAAGAGGGGCTACTCTACGAAGGCGGAGAAGAAACAATGGAGCTAATCGGATATGTTGATGCATCTCATGCATCAGACAAGAAGGACCGGAAGGGAGCTTATGGATACGTCTTTCTCCTGGGCGGGACAGCAATCACTTGGCAAGCAAAGAAGCTAAACGACATTGCACTCTCGAGCGCGGAAGCTGAATACATGGCGTTATTCTACGCCTGTCAAGAAGGAGTATGGCTTCGGCGTTTGATGCAAGAAATGGGGATACACATTGCAGGACCAACTACCATCAGATCGGACAGCATATCGGCCATAGCATTGGCGAAAAACGACAACTGGCACGGACGTACAAAGCACATGGACATCAAATACCATTGGGTGCGTGAACAGCTGGAGAAAAAGGCATTCACCTTTGAGTTCGTACGAACAGAAGATCAAGCAGCCGATTTCCTTACTAAGAACCTTCCGAAGGCAAATTTCGAGCGCTGCAAGTATCTCGTCGGGATGCGGAACCTGCAGGACTTACAGGGGAGCAAGGTGCAAGAACAGTGATGAAGATTTTCAGATCTAGGGTTAGCAGCAGCAAACCACAGGGGAGATTGTTAGAAGTGGTTTCGCCGCTGCACCGACTTTAAGAGCGAAAAAAACGACAAAAGGGATGCCTGGAAAATGCCTTACCTATGGCGGTGGGAAAGAATAGGCTTGAAATTGAGTTTCTGACGGCGGGAGAAGTTAGGTGTGAGAGCCTGAGGAAGAGCTGGTAAAAACGAGGGTTTCAGGAGGAAGAGAAGGGAGAACGTTCTGGACCGCCAGAATTTTCCCAACCTTTCTGGAGGCGGCGTTCGGTGGAATTGAAGAAAGTCGGTTTCACCGACGGTTCAGTTTGAATTACGGTTTTTCAACGTCGGTTACTGTTACGAAATTCGGATTCGCGACGAGGCGCGTTACGCGAGGCGCGCTTTGAAATTCGGATTTCGGATTGCTTAAATTGCATGTTCTGTTTTCCTCATTGTATCAGATTTTCATAGTGAAACTTTCTGTTTGCAACCTGGGTTGGAAAGCAACCTGTTTGAGCAACTTTCAGTTCAAGTTTGAAGCCCGCTACTGCTACTTTCGTGACTCCTAAGTCACGTGCTTACTACGACTGAGACCAAGAGCTGGTATCAGAGCTGGTTCTAGTGCGTTCCAAGTATCAAAGAAGGGCCAAGACTAGTTCCTGCATCATGCCGAACGGGGATGGTGAGGCAAGCTCGGGTTCTTCAGTCAGTGCTGAAGTTCCCCAAGTCCAAGCCCTCTTGGAGGCTCTAACACAAGGGCAAGTGGTGGCCAGGCCAACGATCGGCCTGAGCGAGGCGCAACGGTTCAATGGCAACAATTACAGCACATGGCGTCTTAAGTTCATGCGGCGGGCAAGAGAGATCGATATATGGCACTTCTACAAGGCGGACGAGGAGACGGAGGAAGGAGTACCTCCACCTGCAACGGCAACAGCACAAGAAAAGAGGACATACAAGAAGAAGAGTTTACAGGCCTTCTTCCAACTATGTCACTCGGTCTCAGACTCCATCGCTGTGGGGCTGGACCAGTTTGCAGACGACATGAATTCAGCACAACGTGCATGGGCATACATTGAAGCCGTATACCTCGGACGGACCGACACGAATCTGACTGCAGTGAGAAAGAAGCTGCTGCTGCTCGCAATGGAACAAACGGAGAAGATTATTGACTATGTCAATAGAGCCAAGAGCTACAATGACGATCTCACAGCAATGGGGGCGCCCGAATCAGAGAAGCACATGATGGGATACATCATCAGCGGCTTACCTAAGGAGTGGACGGCAGAAATCGGAATCTTGACTTGCAACACGCCCAAGGACATGACACAGCTGCTCGAGACCCTCCAGGCGCTTGAGCTGGTCAAAGCTGACCTGAAACGGAGGGAAGCAGTGGAAACGGCAGCAGAGGAGAACAGGCCTGCAAATCTGAATGCAACAGCGACACCAAGGAACTCTGGCAACTGCTACCACTGCGGGAAAAAGGGTCACAAAGCTGCGGACTGTTATTCCAACCCCAATGCAAGAAACTACAAAGGGACAGGGCGCTGGCAGCAAAACAGCGAGACGGGACGTGGAGAAGGCTACAAGACAAGCAGAGGATTCAATGGAAATTGCAACCATTGCGGCAAGTATGGGCACAAGGCTTCTGATTGCTACCACAACCGAGCTAGCAGAAACTTTCGAGGAAAGGAGCTGCAAAGGCCAGCAGCAGCAGCGAAGACAAACCTGATGGAGGCTCCTACGGCTGTGGAAGAAACACCAAAGGTGGACCCCATCCTTGGAGGCGCCCACAAAGCCAACGTTGCTCGAGCATCCGAGGTGTGCCTGCTATCCAAGGGATTCAAAGAAACTACTTGGTTTATGGACAGCGGGTGTACACGGCACATGACACACCGGGCTGATTGGCTACGCAACTACCGGGAATCTGGAGTCCCTTATGTCCTACTCGGGGATGAGGGAAAACTTCAAGTGCAAGGAGAAGGGGACCTGATCTTACAGAGTCCCTATGGGGAGCTGAAAATGGACAACGTTCTACTAGTTGAGAAGCTGTCCCTTAACCTCATAAGTCAAACGCAACTGGACAGCAGTGGCTGCAAGACCTTCATTGGCAATGGAAAGCTGTGGGTGTTCGGTCCCACCTGGAAACTGATAGCGGAAGGCGCAAGGACTGAAGGACTTTACGAGATGAAGCTGAAGGAGCAAAATACGCGTGAAGACAAGGTTACCTATCAACCTGAACCTGTGGAAGGGAAGAAGGCCCGAGAAGAGCTACGTACCATGCTGGAAAACACTGCAGTGGCCGAACTGCAGCAGCTGAAACTTCCGGTGGCAGCAGCGGCAGAAGCGGTTGACATCAGCCTTCTACACAAGAGGATGGGGCACGCAAGCACTCAACGGATCAAGGAAATGATGAAGAAAAACATGGCTGCGGGAGTGAAGGTGACGGGAGCTGAGGAAACCCATACTAAGTGCGACTCATGTGTTGAAGGGAAAGCTACAAAAGCTCCCCATCCAAGACATGGACCGAAGGAGCCATATGGGGCAATGGAAGTGGTGGCAGCGGACGTATGCGGTCCAATGAGGGTCACATCACGACATGGCAGCAGATACTTCGTCACGTTCACAGACATCGGCACAAGGCTCACATGGGTGACGGAAATCAAGGATAAAACTCAGGTTTTTCCGAGTTTTGTGGACTGGTTGGCAGAAGCTGAACGACAAAGCGGCAAGCAACTGAAAGTACTTCGAACCGACAACGGCGGTGAATTCATCAACAAGGAGTTCAACGACTACCTGAAAGCCAAGGGAATACGACGGCAGCGTACTATTCCCCACACCCCTCAACACAACAGTATTGCGGAGCGGGTGAATAGGACACTACTCAACAGCGTGCGAAGCATGATAGCGGACAGCAAGCTACCTTTGAACTACTGGGGAGACGCGCTGGGCATGGCTTGCTGGCTGAAAAATCGCCTACCAACGAAGGGACTTGCAGCTGACCTGACACCTCATGAGGCATTCTACAAACGGAAGCCTAACCTGAAGTTTCTTCGGGTATGGGGCTGTATGACGCAATACAGGCCCCCTGCTGGAGCTGATCACAAACTCCTGCCAAGAGCACGGTGGGGGGTGCACTTGGGAACATGCCCGGAGAGCAAAGGCTGGATTATCAAAGACGTGGAGACTGGAATCGTGCTGGCGACCAGGGATGTGACATTCTACGAAAATCTCAACTACGTGGACTGGAAGGCAAGCAACAAGGGCACAACTCCGGGGACAGCTCCTGCCACACCTCAACGAGCGGAGGAACTACTTGAAGTTGCCCAAAACGAAGGCTTGGGGACAGCGAACAATGAAGGGGAAGAAGAAGAGGAGGAACATACCCAACCGGGAGTGGATTGGGTGTGGGAGCCAACTGAGGAGACGCTCAACCACAATGACATGGAAGAGACTCCTGCAACCCCACACCCGCCGAAATCAGCGAGCAACAAAGCTGAAGGCATTGGAGAGGATGAAGCTGACCCAATAGATCAGTCAAGCAATGAGGGAAAAAGCGACCCGTGGGAATTTTTCGAGACAAGCAACAATGACAAAGGAGCAGCAGAGATCGACAACTTGCTGCAGGATGGTGCTATTCTCATTGGGAGAGAGGAAGGAGGCACGAGCACGGAGAAATCAGGGGAGATGGAAGCAGGCACGTGTGCAAGTGATGCTTCGGTGAAAGGAGAGGAGCTGGGAAGAGGGATGCGGACGAAGAAGCCGAATCCGAGATACCAACAGCTCTTGATGACATGCTGGAAAGACGTGCACACTCACCTCCTCCTCACCTCGACGGCAACCGCGTTGATTACCAAGGAAAGGAGAGAGACTTACCACCTGCCACAAGAACCCTTGACCATCGAGGAGGCACTTTCTGGACCGAACAAGGAGCAGTGGAAAGCGGCTATACAAGAGGAGTTGGACACTCTCGCGGAAAGAGGCACTTGGAAACTCGTCCAAATGCCCGAAGGGAGGCACGCCGTTGGCGTCAAGTGGATTTTTAAGATAAAAACAGGTGACATGGGGCAGCTGGAGAGGTTCAAGGCGCGGCTGGTGGCCAAAGGCTACACGCAAGTGGAGGGGATCGACTACACGGAGACATATGCACCAGTCAGCAAGTTGACTACAGCAAGGACACTCTTCAAGATAGTTGCAGCACGCAACTACATCATGGTTCAACTTGACATCAAGAACGCTTTCCTCTATGGCGAACTTCGAGAAGACATCTACATGGATCAGCCTACAGGAATGGAGGACGGAACTGACAGAAAATGCAAGCTGTTGAAAGCGCTCTATGGGCTGAAACAAAGCCCTAGAGAGTGGTACAAGGCTATGGATGCACGCCTGCTCGAAGGAGGATTCCAGAAAAGTCAGTGCGACAGAGCACTTTACTGGAAAGGGGAAGGAAAGGAGAAAGTCTACCTCCTACTCTACGTCGACGACATCCTAGTGGCGGGAGCATTGGAGGACAGAGTTGAGGAGGTGTGTGCTCACCTTGCAGCCGTTTTTCAAGTGAAGCAGATCCCGCGAGCCACGTTGTTCCTGGGCATGAACCTGGAGCGGGACCGAGAAGGCAGGAAGCTGCTACTTTATCAAAAGAAGTACATTCAACGGCTGCAAGAACGATTTGGGACACCAGACTGCACCAAGGCCATGACAACTCCGCTCAGCAGCCTCTCGGAGAAGGAAATCGATCCTGAAGAAGAACTCATCCAATGGGGCAGCAAGGAGCGAGCAGTGAAGGCTTACCAGTCACGCGTCGGATCGGTGATGTACCCCGTCTCTTGTACGCGGGTAGACGTCGCACATGCTGCCAGCTTCTTGGGGCAGAACGTGCTACAGCCAGAAGGCCGCAAGTGGAAGGAGATGCAGCGCACAATCGCTTATCTGCAGCAACGGGGAGAAGAGGGGCTACTCTACGAAGGCGGAGAAGAAACAATGGAGCTAATCGGATATGCTGATGCATCTCATGCATCAGACAAGAAGGACCGGAAGGGAGCTTATGGATACGTCTTTCTCCTGGGCGGGACAGCAATCACTTGGCAAGCAAAGAAGCTAAACGACATTGCACTCTCGAGCGCGGAAGCTGAATACATGGCGTTATTCTACGCCTGTCAAGAAGGAGTATGGCTTCGGCGTTTGATGCAAGAAATGGGGATACACATTGCAGGACCAACTACCATCAGATCGGACAGCATATCGGCCATAGCATTGGCGAAAAACGACAACTGGCACGGACGTACAAAGCACATGGACATCAAATACCATTGGGTGCGTGAACAGCTGGAGAAAAAGGCATTCACCTTTGAGTTCGTACGAACAGAAGATCAAGCAGCCGATTTCCTTACTAAGAACCTTCCGAAGGCAAATTTCGAGCGCTGCAAGTATCTCGTCGGGATGCGGAACCTGCAGGACTTACAGGGGAGCAAGGTGCAAGAACAGTGATGAAGATTTTCAGATCTAGGGTTAGCAGCAGCAAACCACAGGGGAGATTGTTAGAAGTGGTTTCGCCGCTGCACCGACTTTAAGAGCGAAAAAACGACAAAAGGGATGCCTGGAAAATGCCTTACCTATGGCGGTGGGAAAGAATAGGCTTGAAATTGAGTTTCTGACGGCGGGAGAAGTTAGGTGTGAGAGCCTGAGGAAGAGCTGGTAAAAACGAGGGTTTCAGGAGGAAGAGAAGGGAGAACGTTCTGGACCGCCAGAATTTTCCCAACCTTTCTGGAGGCGGCGTTCGGTGGAATTGAAGAAAGTCGGTTTCACCGACGGTTCAGTTTGAATTACGGTTTTTCAACGTCGGTTACTGTTACGAAATTCGGATTCGCGACGAGGCGCGTTACGCGAGGCGCGCTTTGAAATTCGGATTTCGGATTGCTTAAATTGCATGTTCTGTTTTCCTCATTGTATCAGATTTTCATAGTGAAACTTTCTGTTTGCAACCTGGGTTGGAAAGCAACCTGTTTGAGCAACTTTCAGTTCAAGTTCGAAGCCCGCTACTGCTACTTTCGTGACTCCTAAGTCACGTGCTTACTACGACTGAGACCAAGAGAGCATACTCGAGGGAGGAGAAGAAGAGGACTAAAAAAACGATGGCAGGTTTGGAGGAAAAGGTAGCGGAGTTGGAAAATGATTACATGAACGGGCCCGGCGATGCGGCGTGTTATGAACAACTGATCAAGTATGGATCGATGCTTAAAGCATATCGAGAAAAGCAGAGGGAGCGCCTGCAGATTATGGCGGGAGTCCAGCAGGAAGTTTTCGGAGAGGTTTCGTCTAAGGTTTTGTCGAGCCGGATAGCGACACAGAGGTCTCAAACACTGATAGAAGAGATCTCATATAAGGGGGACTGTTTTGTGGGAGAGAGAGAAGTACTCACAGCGGCATCCAAGTACTTCACGGAAGCTTTCGCAGCACAAGAGTCGGTGGCGAAAGAAGCGTGGCGGGTTGATCCCACGAAAGTCTTGGGGATTTCTGAAAGGGAGATGCTGAGGGCCCCCTGGACGGAGGAAGAGGTACGGCTGGCGATCAGACAACTGCCGAAAGGGAAGGCACCGGGACTGGATGGGCTGCCCAAAGAAATCTTTGAGGAGAACTGGGACCTGCTCGGGAGAAGCTTTCTTTCCTTCATCAAGGAGTTTGAAAAATCGGCGTCCCTTCCTCCCTCACTGACCACGGCGGTGACGATCCTCCTGCACAAAAAAGGGGACAAGGCGCGGTTAGAAAACTACAGACCAATTACACTTCTGAGCGCAACATATAAGATTGTGGCGAAGGTGCTGGCCAAC